CTCCTTATAGCGTACCGCGTGCTACACAAGCGTGGGACAGTGAGCGGAAGTTTTTCCATTACCAAGATGCTTCGTGTGATGACAATCAAATGTGTGGACATTACACTCAGGTAAGCCTCGTTCTCGTCAGCTGTGGCACGTGATGTCAGGTGTCGGCGGTCCAGGAGTGAGCTCAACGGTGCGTCTTTATTAAAACATGTACAAAGGACAAAATAGTCTCCGACTCACTATAATAATGTATCGATAATAATATGGTACCTAAATGGTACCCATGTTCAGTTGTGGCATAAAGCTATGGTAGTAATAATAACAATCGATATTGATATCGTATCCCCTCTGGGATCTAGATTAGAATACAATAAGGATATAAGGAACAATAAAATACATAAGTAATAATAATAATAATAATAATAATAAAGGAAATAAATAAATAGTAATACTGTGAAAATATTATTATATAACGATTTTTGGTGTTATTTTGAGGCAGCTGGTAAATTGCTTTTCATGAAGTTTTTTCTCTTTTAGTGAAACAGTCGCTGATAAACTTGGCAATTGCTTAGACAGTTTCAGAATTTTTGTTATTGAGAAGTGCTTTCAGATTACCGGATAAGTTTAAGTTTTCAAACAAAGCATCCCTTTCAAATTTGTACAGGTTACAATTGAAGAGGAGGTGTTCTTCGTCACGGTCTTCAATTTCATTGGAGTCACAGACAGGGCATGTTCTATTTAAGATATCTATGTTGTGATATCGCCCAACTTCAATCTGAAGTATGTGGGCACTTATCCTCAGTTTAGTCATAGATGATCTGTGGATGGGTTTTTTAATAATTTCGAGGTATTTTTCAAGTGCAAAATCAGTTTTCAGCTGTCTGTAGGTACGAAGTTTATTTTTGTGATTAGTGCCTTTATTGTCATTATGCATTGTTTCTGTGCAGTGTTTTTCAAACATATTTTAGTTTTTTTGTAGCTAATGGGATAATACTGTTTTTTTCGCAAACATCACTAATTTCTAAAAGGTTCAGTAATTTTTTTATGCCTGTGGTCCAATTACTGATGTTTTCTTTGTCCAAATTGGTGCCAAGTTTAGTATGTACTGAATGAAATCGAAGACTTTGTGAATATAATCACGCCTCCATAATTCAGGGCACGAAAACTAAAATCGCCACACGTCACCTCAGACTAGTAATACAAGTCTGAGACGTCACATACCACTTGTCTGAACGACCAATAAGCATGGTGTATACAATTATTTAATCTTTGACTGTCACATGTTATACACGTGACTAGCTTTCATCCAACATGGTATTTCTCATATGATTGTAGGTCGTGTGGGCAACATCCAAAGATGTCGGGTGTGGCGTTGCAGACTGTGGTACATACAATATGATAGTGTGCAACTATGGACCAAGGTAAACATAATTAAATTGTTTATCTAGATATAAATTTATATTCATTTCAAACTGTGGGTGGATTAATACAGCAACCTTATGTATTTGGTTTGTTTAGGGGCAATTACGCTGGTGCACAGCCTTATAAAACCGGGGTGTCATGTTCTGAGTGTCCAGTTCCAAGTTGGTGTTACGAAGCACTTTGCAGTGAGTAATTTTCGATTTTACGATGAAGTACGGAACGCCAATCCTATATTATATTGAGATGTAATATACTTGTATTACTGATAAAAAATATCATGATATATTTGGTATTATGTCATACTATATACTAACACCATTACATGGTGGTAGAACCACACTATATAATATGCTAACTATAGTATACTATATGCTAACATCGTTATATGTTTGTGTGTTGTCATAAAACTATATGTTGAATAATTATATGTCAAAATGATTATATATTTATGGAACGTCATTATATTATATGCTAACGTCATTCATGACATCACACAATCATATATATATATATATATA